TTGTTCGTCTTCTTCTTAAGTTCATCTTACATCGGTCCGAAAGTGTATTGGATGTAGACACTGTATTATCTAGAATGCACTCATTAGTATTAGAATTAACAACCGAAATTGGAACAGACTCACCTGGGTTCTGGAATTGTATACAATCAGCATGCCGGCTTTGTAGTGAAACCATTGATATTTAGAATTTGCATCATGGACTTTCCAACAATATCCTCCCCCACGAAATAATGTTGGGTCCTTACTTCGTAATGTTTTAGCCAATATGACGTTCCCAATTTGCATTATCTTCTCAAATCTTACGCATCGACTACTGTATATGAGTATTTGGGGATACACACTGATATATGATTTGAGGTATTCCATCATGTGACTTTGACTTGAATAAAAATCATGATACATATTCTTTTTGTTATTCATATTAGAATACACAGATGGATATGCATTGATATATGTAATTAACACATGTGATTCAACTAGGCTTGATTTACCTGCGAGACAATCGAATAGAAAACATTCATCTGCCTCATATTCATTAGGATAATCTTGAACTTGATTTGGATTCTCTGTCTGTGCAAACTTCACCTCTGGGCAAGCTGGTTCTCTGATTATTTCGGTAAATTTTGCAATCCCCTCTGATTCATTATACCCCTGACTAGGGATTTTATTCAATATACATTGTTCGTGAGAGTATCCAACATCTGATACAATAACATCAGAAATATAACTACAATTCGACTCATTCGGAACATATTTTTCACATTCATTAGGAATATCATTAGAGATAAATTGATTGTGAGGACCACTGACACTTGATATGATATCATAATTCGATCCTTCTGAAATATTTTCCTCAAATTGATTAGGAGTTTCATTAGAGAATAATGGATCATTCGAAAAATCAGCATCTACCAAAAGTGAATCCAGTTTTTGCTCATGATTCGACTCATTCAACATTTTGTTCTCAGAGTTGTAAGAAACTAAAATCAGAAGTATGTGAATTATTACGACAAACCATATCTGGTACAGTAACATGAGAAATCTGATAAGTTGGTTGGTTGGGAATTTTCGTCTCTCAATGACTCTGGGTTTCATTCAACTCTGTACTGTTATATAACGTTATACCTCTTCTAGATAAAGATAACTGATCATTAGAAGCATTCATCTTAGCATTACTTTCAGCGAAATGAACCATGGTATTACAAATTGACTGAGTATGTCCAGTTATACCACATTTAAAGCATTTAGAATTACGAAATATACATGAATTACATGGGTGAAACTTGCCGCAGATCAGGCATTTACTAAACTCGTGCTCATCTTCATGGACTGTTTCACAGCTCAATGAAGTACTATCTGAATAACTTTGAATACGCATCGAACTGCGACGACTTATTGAAGAAGTGGAATTCCTGAAGTTCCGGCGAGTCATTTTATCGAATTTTCCTCTCTTACCACATTCGGAACTTGTATACTTTACATGATCCAACAGTAGTTGCTTGAGAGTTGCATAGGGGAGTGAAATCGGTTTGTCTGGAAGTGCCAAAATCTTTACAAAGCTGTATGCTTCTTTTCCGATGAATGTAAGAAAATGGGCCACAATATTAAAATTTTCATCATCTTCCTTGGTCATAGCCCAGATTTCGAACCTCTCCATGTACTCCTCAAAAGCATGAAAATCTGAATTTATATCCAACCGTTCCATCACAGGCTCAATCGCGACGCCAATATGATAATCAGAAGTATTCGAATTGTAGTATAAACTAGTAATCCCAGGAATAACGCAATTTAATCAAGAAGTACAAGTGGAGCACAAACGAATGTATTGTATTTGGAATTCAAAATTACAACAGTCATCAATACCAAGAAGTCATTGATTTATTTAAACACCACAACCGCCACAGCTCGAATTGGAGTGTAAGTGCCTGTAATCGATTGTTCGTCTTCTTCTTAAGTTCATCTTACATCGGTCCGAAAGTGTATTGGATGTAGACACTGTATTATCTAGAATGCACTCATTAGTATTAGAATTAACAACCGAAATTGGAACAGACTCACCTGGGTTCTGGAATTGTATACAATCAGCATGCCGGCTTTGTAGTGAAACCATTGATATTTAGAATTTGCATCATGGACTTTCCAACAATATCCTCCCCCACGAAATAATGTTGGGTCCTTACTTCGTAATGTTTTAGCCAATATGACGTTCCCAATTTGCATTATCTTCTCAAATCTTACGCATCGACTACTGTATATGAGTATTTGGGGATACACACTGATATATGATTTGAGGTATTCCATCATGTGACTTTGACTTGAATAAAAATCATGATACATATTCTTTTTGTTATTCATATTAGAATACACAGATGGATATGCATTGATATATGTAATTAACACATGTGATTCAACTAGGCTTGATTTACCTGCGAGACAATCGAATAGAAAACATTCATCTGCCTCATATTCATTAGGATAATCTTGAACTTGATTTGGATTCTCTGTCTGTGCAAACTTCACCTCTGGGCAAGCTGGTTCTCTGATTATTTCGGTAAATTTTGCAATCCCCTCTGATTCATTATACCCCTGACTAGGGATTTTATTCAATATACATTGTTCGTGAGAGTATCCAACATCTGATACAATAACATCAGAAATATAACTACAATTCGACTCATTCGGAACATATTTTTCACATTCATTAGGAATATCATTAGAGATAAATTGATTGTGAGGACCACTGACACTTGATATGATATCATAATTCGATCCTTCTGAAATATTTTCCTCAAATTGATTAGGAGTTTCATTAGAGAATAATGGATCATTCGAAAAATCAGCATCTACCAAAAGTGAATCCAGTTTTTGCTCATGATTCGACTCATTCAACATTTTGTTCTCAGAGTTGTAAGAAACTAAAATCAGAAGTATGTGAATTATTACGACAAACCATATCTGGTACAGTAACATGAGAAATCTGATAAGTTGGTTGGTTGGGAATTTTCGTCTCTCAATGACTCTGGGTTTCATTCAACTCTGTACTGTTATATAACGTTATACCTCTTCTAGATAAAGATAACTGATCATTAGAAGCATTCATCTTAGCATTACTTTCAGCGAAATGAACCATGGTATTACAAATTGACTGAGTATGTCCAGTTATACCACATTTAAAGCATTTAGAATTACGAAATATACATGAATTACATGGGTGAAACTTGCCGCAGATCAGGCATTTACTAAACTCGTGCTCATCTTCATGGACTGTTTCACAGCTCAATGAAGTACTATCTGAATAACTTTGAATACGCATCGAACTGCGACGACTTATTGAAGAAGTGGAATTCCTGAAGTTCCGGCGAGTCATTTTATCGAATTTTCCTCTCTTACCACATTCGGAACTTGTATACTTTACATGATCCAACAGTAGTTGCTTGAGAGTTGCATAGGGGAGTGAAATCGGTTTGTCTGGAAGTGCCAAAATCTTTACAAAGCTGTATGCTTCTTTTCCGATGAATGTAAGAAAATGGGCCACAATATTAAAATTTTCATCATCTTCCTTGGTCATAGCCCAGATTTCGAACCTCTCCATGTACTCCTCAAAAGCATGAAAATCTGAATTTATATCCAACCGTTCCATCACAGGCTCAATCGCGACGCCAATATGATAATCAGAAGTATTCGAATTGTAGTATAAACTAGTAATCCCAGGAATAACGCAATTTAATCAAGAAGTACAAGTGGAGCACAAACGAATGTATTGTATTTGGAATTCAAAATTACAACAGTCATCAATACCAAGAAGTCATTGATTTATTTAAACACCACAACCGCCACAGCTCGAATTGGAGTGTAAGTGCCTGTAATCGATTGTTCGTCTTCTTCTTAAGTTCATCTTACATCGGTCCGAAAGTGTATTGGATGTAGACACTGTATTATCTAGAATGCACTCATTAGTATTAGAATTAACAACCGAAATTGGAACAGACTCACCTGGGTTCTGGAATTGTATACAATCAGCATGCCGGCTTTGTAGTGAAACCATTGATATTTAGAATTTGCATCATGGACTTTCCAACAATATCCTCCCCCACGAAATAATGTTGGGTCCTTACTTCGTAATGTTTTAGCCAATATGACGTTCCCAATTTGCATTATCTTCTCAAATCTTACGCATCGACTACTGTATATGAGTATTTGGGGATACACACTGATATATGATTTGAGGTATTCCATCATGTGACTTTGACTTGAATAAAAATCATGATACATATTCTTTTTGTTATTCATATTAGAATACACAGATGGATATGCATTGATATATGTAATTAACACATGTGATTCAACTAGGCTTGATTTACCTGCGAGACAATCGAATAGAAAACATTCATCTGCCTCATATTCATTAGGATAATCTTGAACTTGATTTGGATTCTCTGTCTGTGCAAACTTCACCTCTGGGCAAGCTGGTTCTCTGATTATTTCGGTAAATTTTGCAATCCCCTCTGATTCATTATACCCCTGACTAGGGATTTTATTCAATATACATTGTTCGTGAGAGTATCCAACATCTGATACAATAACATCAGAAATATAACTACAATTCGACTCATTCGGAACATATTTTTCACATTCATTAGGAATATCATTAGAGATAAATTGATTGTGAGGACCACTGACACTTGATATGATATCATAATTCGATCCTTCTGAAATATTTTCCTCAAATTGATTAGGAGTTTCATTAGAGAATAATGGATCATTCGAAAAATCAGCATCTACCAAAAGTGAATCCAGTTTTTGCTCATGATTCGACTCATTCAACATTTTGTTCTCAGAGTTGTAAGAAACTAAAATCAGAAGTATGTGAATTATTACGACAAACCATATCTGGTACAGTAACATGAGAAATCTGATAAGTTGGTTGGTTGGGAATTTTCGTCTCTCAATGACTCTGGGTTTCATTCAACTCTGTACTGTTATATAACGTTATACCTCTTCTAGATAAAGATAACTGATCATTAGAAGCATTCATCTTAGCATTACTTTCAGCGAAATGAACCATGGTATTACAAATTGACTGAGTATGTCCAGTTATACCACATTTAAAGCATTTAGAATTACGAAATATACATGAATTACATGGGTGAAACTTGCCGCAGATCAGGCATTTACTAAACTCGTGCTCATCTTCATGGACTGTTTCACAGCTCAATGAAGTACTATCTGAATAACTTTGAATACGCATCGAACTGCGACGACTTATTGAAGAAGTGGAATTCCTGAAGTTCCGGCGAGTCATTTTATCGAATTTTCCTCTCTTACCACATTCGGAACTTGTATACTTTACATGATCCAACAGTAGTTGCTTGAGAGTTGCATAGGGGAGTGAAATCGGTTTGTCTGGAAGTGCCAAAATCTTTACAAAGCTGTATGCTTCTTTTCCGATGAATGTAAGAAAATGGGCCACAATATTAAAATTTTCATCATCTTCCTTGGTCATAGCCCAGATTTCGAACCTCTCCATGTACTCCTCAAAAGCATGAAAATCTGAATTTATATCCAACCGTTCCATCACAGGCTCAATCGCGACGCCAATATGATAATCAGAAGTATTCGAATTGTAGTATAAACTAGTAATCCCAGGAATAACGCAATTTAATCAAGAAGTACAAGTGGAGCACAAACGAATGTATTGTATTTGGAATTCAAAATTACAACAGTCATCAATACCAAGAAGTCATTGATTTATTTAAACACCACAACCGCCACAGCTCGAATTGGAGTGTAAGTGCCTGTAATCGATTGTTCGTCTTCTTCTTAAGTTCATCTTACATCGGTCCGAAAGTGTATTGGATGTAGACACTGTATTATCTAGAATGCACTCATTAGTATTAGAATTAACAACCGAAATTGGAACAGACTCACCTGGGTTCTGGAATTGTATACAATCAGCATGCCGGCTTTGTAGTGAAACCATTGATATTTAGAATTTGCATCATGGACTTTCCAACAATATCCTCCCCCACGAAATAATGTTGGGTCCTTACTTCGTAATGTTTTAGCCAATATGACGTTCCCAATTTGCATTATCTTCTCAAATCTTACGCATCGACTACTGTATATGAGTATTTGGGGATACACACTGATATATGATTTGAGGTATTCCATCATGTGACTTTGACTTGAATAAAAATCATGATACATATTCTTTTTGTTATTCATATTAGAATACACAGATGGATATGCATTGATATATGTAATTAACACATGTGATTCAACTAGGCTTGATTTACCTGCGAGACAATCGAATAGAAAACATTCATCTGCCTCATATTCATTAGGATAATCTTGAACTTGATTTGGATTCTCTGTCTGTGCAAACTTCACCTCTGGGCAAGCTGGTTCTCTGATTATTTCGGTAAATTTTGCAATCCCCTCTGATTCATTATACCCCTGACTAGGGATTTTATTCAATATACATTGTTCGTGAGAGTATCCAACATCTGATACAATAACATCAGAAATATAACTACAATTCGACTCATTCGGAACATATTTTTCACATTCATTAGGAATATCATTAGAGATAAATTGATTGTGAGGACCACTGACACTTGATATGATATCATAATTCGATCCTTCTGAAATATTTTCCTCAAATTGATTAGGAGTTTCATTAGAGAATAATGGATCATTCGAAAAATCAGCATCTACCAAAAGTGAATCCAGTTTTTGCTCATGATTCGACTCATTCAACATTTTGTTCTCAGAGTTGTAAGAAACTAAAATCAGAAGTATGTGAATTATTACGACAAACCATATCTGGTACAGTAACATGAGAAATCTGATAAGTTGGTTGGTTGGGAATTTTCGTCTCTCAATGACTCTGGGTTTCATTCAACTCTGTACTGTTATATAACGTTATACCTCTTCTAGATAAAGATAACTGATCATTAGAAGCATTCATCTTAGCATTACTTTCAGCGAAATGAACCATGGTATTACAAATTGACTGAGTATGTCCAGTTATACCACATTTAAAGCATTTAGAATTACGAAATATACATGAATTACATGGGTGAAACTTGCCGCAGATCAGGCATTTACTAAACTCGTGCTCATCTTCATGGACTGTTTCACAGCTCAATGAAGTACTATCTGAATAACTTTGAATACGCACCGAACTGCGACGACTTATTGAAGAAGTGGAATTCCTGAAGTTCCGGCGAGTCATTTTATCGAATTTTCCTCTCTTACCACATTCGGAACTTGTATACTTTACATGATCCAACAGTAGTTGCTTGAGAGTTGCATAGGGGAGTGAAATCGGTTTGTCTGGAAGTGCCAAAATCTTTACAAAGCTGTATGCTTCTTTTCCGATGAATGTAAGAAAATGGGCCACAATATTAAAATTTTCATCATCTTCCTTGGTCATAGCCCAGATTTCGAACCTCTCCATGTACTCCTCAAAAGCATGAAAATCTGAATTTATATCCAACCGTTCCATCACAGGCTCAATCGCGACGCCAATATGATAATCAGAAGTATTCGAATTGTAGTATAAACTAGTAATCCCAGGAATAACGCAATTTAATCAAGAAGTACAAGTGGAGCACAAACGAATGTATTGTATTTGGAATTCAAAATTACAACAGTCATCAATACCAAGAAGTCATTGATTTATTTAAACACCACAACCGCCACAGCTCGAATTGGAGTGTAAGTGCCTGTAATCGATTGTTCGTCTTCTTCTTAAGTTCATCTTACATCGGTCCGAAAGTGTATTGGATGTAGACACTGTATTATCTAGAATGCACTCATTAGTATTAGAATTAACAACCGAAATTGGAACAGACTCACCTGGGTTCTGGAATTGTATACAATCAGCATGCCGGCTTTGTAGTGAAACCATTGATATTTAGAATTTGCATCATGGACTTTCCAACAATATCCTCCCCCACGAAATAATGTTGGGTCCTTACTTCGTAATGTTTTAGCCAATATGACGTTCCCAATTTGCATTATCTTCTCAAATCTTACGCATCGACTACTGTATATGAGTATTTGGGGATACACACTGATATATGATTTGAGGTATTCCATCATGTGACTTTGACTTGAATAAAAATCATGATACATATTCTTTTTGTTATTCATATTAGAATACACAGATGGATATGCATTGATATATGTAATTAACACATGTGATTCAACTAGGCTTGATTTACCTGCGAGACAATCGAATAGAAAACATTCATCTGCCTCATATTCATTAGGATAATCTTGAACTTGATTTGGATTCTCTGTCTGTGCAAACTTCACCTCTGGGCAAGCTGGTTCTCTGATTATTTCGGTAAATTTTGCAATCCCCTCTGATTCATTATACCCCTGACTAGGGATTTTATTCAATATACATTGTTCGTGAGAGTATCCAACATCTGATACAATAACATCAGAAATATAACTACAATTCGACTCATTCGGAACATATTTTTCACATTCATTAGGAATATCATTAGAGATAAATTGATTGTGAGGACCACTGACACTTGATATGATATCATAATTCGATCCTTCTGAAATATTTTCCTCAAATTGATTAGGAGTTTCATTAGAGAATAATGGATCATTCGAAAAATCAGCATCTACCAAAAGTGAATCCAGTTTTTGCTCATGATTCGACTCATTCAACATTTTGTTCTCAGAGTTGTAAGAAACTAAAATCAGAAGTATGTGAATTATTACGACAAACCATATCTGGTACAGTAACATGAGAAATCTGATAAGTTGGTTGGTTGGGAATTTTCGTCTCTCAATGACTCTGGGTTTCATTCAACTCTGTACTGTTATATAACGTTATACCTCTTCTAGATAAAGATAACTGATCATTAGAAGCATTCATCTTAGCATTACTTTCAGCGAAATGAACCATGGTATTACAAATTGACTGAGTATGTCCAGTTATACCACATTTAAAGCATTTAGAATTACGAAATATACATGAATTACATGGGTGAAACTTGCCGCAGATCAGGCATTTACTAAACTCGTGCTCATCTTCATGGACTGTTTCACAGCTCAATGAAGTACTATCTGAATAACTTTGAATACGCATCGAACTGCGACGACTTATTGAAGAAGTGGAATTCCTGAAGTTCCGGCGAGTCATTTTATCAAATTTTCCTCTCTTACCACATTCGGAACTTGTATACTTTACATGATCCAACAGTAGTTGCTTGAGAGTTGCATAGGGGAGTGAAATCGGTTTGTCTGGAAGTGCCAAAATCTTTACAAAGCTGTATGCTTCTTTTCCGATGAATGTAAGAAAATGGGCCACAATATTAAAATTTTCATCATCTTCCTTGGTCATAGCCCAGATTTCGAACCTCTCCATGTACTCCTCAAAAGCATGAAAATCTGAATTTATATCCAACCGTTCCATCACAGGCTCAATCGCGACGCCAATATGATAATCAGAAGTATTCGAATTGTAGTATAAACTAGTAATCCCAGGAATAACGCAATTTAATCAAGAAGTACAAGTGGAGCACAAACGAATGTAATGTATTTGGAATTCAAAATTACAACAGTCATCAATACCAAGAAGTCATTGATTTATTTAAACACCGCAGACTACTGTTTGCACTTCAATCGAATTTATTTCAACTAAATTAATAACCATTAGTCTTCTTCCAAATTAATTTATCGTCTTTACTTTTTAGTACAATAGTTCTTTTTCTATATTTTCGTACTTTTGGTTCTAACAGTTTGCAGTTTTCCATTCATTTTGGTCATCAGTTTCTCTCGTCTCTGAATATTGTTCATGTCTTGTTTCTTTTTGAAAACCTCTGATTGATTGCTGAACGGTGAAGAAAGCAATTGCCAGTTCCAAGGCTGTTGATACTCTGTGGAAAGTGACATTCATTGGATGGATGCAACGGATGATACCACGAAATTTGTGTGAACCTAACGAACGATTTAGCAGAAATAATTGCGTGTGGTTGTGTTAGCAGTGCTGCTCGGACACGAATAGCTTTCTATCCGAAGCGCATGCAATGGCGAATGCTCGTAAAGGTGTATTAGCAAGCGCGATAGAGACATATCAAATGGTACTCGTTCTCTTGGCAAACTGATTGATGAGGTCTCTCAAATAAGCACACAGTCGACTGACATGGACGAAGGGAGGAAGGATGGCTTCTAGAGAGGTCTGTTAGAAAAACTCAAGAAAGAGAGTTTCCTCTTCTTTTATTCCTTCAAGTGGAAACCATCAGGAAACGCTTAGAAAATTTAGTCGCAAAGCTAGGTCTGTTTTCAGCACAAAACACAACAACCTGACAACAGAAGCCATCGGCAGTCGTCAAAGATCCAACAGTGTCTGCAACACTAACAAGATTGCAACTCCAACGAAAGCTGGTGATTGGGTACAGATAAGGAACAAGAAACGACCTCACGTTTTCAAAGAAAAGCCAGTCTACCAAAAAGATTGCTAATATTGGTCGGTCAGCTTTTTGTATATTCAAGAGAAGTGAAAATTCAGGCCCCAAATTTCGTTCTGAGCATAACATTAAGTCG